TGGCGGCGTCCAAGATGGCCCAATATGGCCCCAAGAGGGCCTCAGAGAGCGCAATATGGCCTCCAAGCTGGCCCAATCTATCGGCAGTTGGGTCAGTAGCTTGCGACGCGCGCCCGACAGGCCCCAAGACGGCCCCAAGACGGTTTCAAGCGCTGCCCGAGGCCTCCGAGGATCCCCCCCAAGAGGCCAAAATCTTTCAAACACATAAGCTTTCGTGCTTTCGCCTCCGACGGGCGACTGGGGCCTCAAGATGGCCCCAAGACGGCGCAAGATAGCCCCAGGTGGGATCCAAAAGGACCCAAAGACGGCCCCAAGAGCGAGCGCCCCAAGAGCTGCATGGCCAAGAGTGCCCCAGGATGGCACTTTTGAGCCTTCGATGGGGGTCTGAATTAAGCCCCCCCCCATGTTTTTTGTTAACGAAAGGGCCCAAGACTGCCCCAAGAGGCCCCTCAGGCAGTCCACAGACAGACCACGGGAGCCCCAAGCAGCCCCTCAGGAGCCCCAAGAGGGCCCCAAGACGCAACAAAGACGCCCCGAGAAGGCCCTAAGAGGACCTCAAGAGAGCACCAAAAAACGTCCCAGGAGGCCCCAAGAGGGGCCCAAGATAATCCCACGAGAGCCCCAACATGCTTCCAAGTTTCGGAACGCACGCGAGTTTAAGATACAGATCAGCGCAACAATTACACCAGTGCGGCCCTACCTAGAAGTTGGAGCCCCTAGGAAAGAAGCATTAGTTGATAGGCGGTTATATGATATGCCATGCGTTGCTGCGCTACGCTGTGATATGCTCATATGCAGCGATATGATATGCTATGATATGCTACGCTATGCGATGCTATGTCATGCTGCGCTGTGCTATGCTAAGCTACGCTAAGCTATGCTATGGTATGCTAAGCTGCACCGTCACATGTTATGCTATGTTATGTTATGATATGATATGCTGTGATATGCTATGATGCGCTATGCTATGCTATGTTCTGCTATGCTTGCCTATGTTATGCTAAGCTACGCTAAGCTAAGCTAAACTAAGCTAAGCGAACTTTTGGGCAGGGCCTAGGTAGGGAACTACTCCCATGCTGATGCTTTGCTTGCTTTGTGTTGCTTGTGCTTTGCTTTGCTGTCGCTGCTGTTGCGTTGCCTTTGCTTTGATGATATGCTATGCTATGCTATGCTATGCTATGCTGCGCTGTGCTACGCTGTGCTATGCTATGCGATACTGGACTATGCTATGATATGCTGTGCTGCGCTATATGCTATGCTATGATATGCTGTGCTCTGATATGCTAAAGCTCAGCGAAACTAAGATGAAGGTAAGCTAAGCTAAAATAAACCTGAGCTAAGATGAAGCTAAGCTAAGCTAAGCTGAAATAAAATAAGCTCAGATGAGAAAAGCAACTCTTAGCTAAGGGGGCGTCGCTGGGGGAACCGCGGGGCGGATGCCGGGGGAACCGCCCGGGGCGGGCCCCACTGCCCGGCCCCTTTAAGATAGAGAGTAAGAGCCCCTCTAGGCAGAGCCTAGATAGGGAACCATCACGAGTCATCGGAACACCGCTCACCCCTCATCGAAACATCAGCGTAGCTCGCACTGACTTCAATATTAAGCTTCAATGCGAGAATCTATGCGTGATCCTTGTTTTCCCAGAGACGGCCGCGCTGCGCGCGTCCTGCCGCCCCTGATTCACCAACTCCCCTGCTGATCGTTTCTGGATGGGCTGGTAGGGGTACTTTTTGTTGGCAGCTCCCTGGCGAAAGTCAAGAAGCGGGGCATCGAACGGGGCGCGAAACGGTTAATTGGCCGAAGAGGCGATGGTGGGGATGCGCGAGCGTCAAGAATCCCACCGGCTCTCTGGGCGACGGTGGTTTAGATCGTTTCCTCTTCCACTCTCCTTTTTCCCCTTGGGGGGGGGGTTGCCCCTCCCCCTACCCCCCCCCCTGGACCTGGACAGGGGGTTCTGCGAGGTGTCGGAGCGTCCAGCGCGGCCGCGGCGAGGAAGCTAAAATCAATTGCTTCATTAGGGCGTTGGCCCTACGTTGGCCCCCTGGAAGGGGGGGGGGCCTAATTGAAGCCCCCCTCTTGCCTGATCGATCTCCTCCAGGATGGCTCCAAGAAGCGCCCAGGGGGGCCCGAGAGGTCCCAAGAAGGCCCCAATATCGCCCCAAGAGGCCTTCAAGAGGCCCCCAGGAGGCCCCCGAGAGACCCCCGAGAGACCCCAAAAGCCCCCCCAGAGACGCCCAATATGCTCCAAGAGGCCTCGGCGAGAATGCCAATGCGGCCTCGGCGGGGAAGCCAGCGTCATTGGGTTCACAAAGGTGTTGACCCCATTTTGGCGTTCTGTGTGTGCGTGTGAGTGTGTGTGTGTGTGTGCGTGTGTCTATGTGCGTGTGTGTGTGTGTGTGTGTGTGTGTGTCTGTGTGTGTGTGCGTGTGCGTGCGTGCGTGTGTCTGTGCGTGCGTGTGTGTGTGTGTGTGTGTGTGTATGTGTGTCTATGTGTGTGTGTGCGTGTGTGTGTGTGTGCGTGTGCGTGTGTGTGTGTGTGTGCGTGTGCGTGCGTGTGTCTGTTGCGTGCGTGTGTGTGTGTGGGTTGGTGTTTTGTGCGTGTGGTGTGGTGGTGTGTGTGTTGTTGTGGCGTGTGTGCGGTGGGCGGTGGTTTTTGTGTGTGTTGTGTGTGTTGTGTGTGTGTTGTGTGTGTGTGGCGGTGCAGTGCGTGGTGTGTGTGTGTGTGTGTGTGTGTGTGTGTGTGTGTGTGGTGTGTGTGGTGTGTGTGTGGTGTGTTGTGCGCGTGTGTGGTGTTGTGTCCGTTGGGGTGGGTGGGTGGGTGGGTGGGGCGGGTGCGTGTGTGTGTGTGCGTGTTGCGTGTGTGTGGTGTGTGTGGGGGGGGGTGGGGGGGGCCGCGGGCGCGCATTAATGCCCCCCTCTTGCCTGATCGATCTCCTCCAAGATGACCATAAGAAACGCCCAGGAGACCACGAGGGGCCCCAAGGTGGCCCCAAGATGACCCCAAGAGGCACCCAAGAGGCCCCCAGGAGCCCCCGAGAGACCCCCGAGAGACCACAAGAGACCCCAGAGGCGCCCAAGATGCTCCAAGAGGCCTCGGCGAGAATGCCAAAATCATTGGTTTCACCAAGGTTTTCGTCCCATGTTGGCTTCCTGGGGGGAGGGGGGGGGGCGCTAATTAATGCCCTCCTTTCGTTTCATCGATCGCCCCCCAGATGGCCCCACGAAGCACCCAGGAGGCCCCCAGAGGTCCCAAGGTGGCGCCAAGATGGCCCCAAGAGGCCCCCAAGGGGCCCAAAGAGGCCCCCAAGAGACCCCCAAGAGGCCCCAAGAGACCCCCCAGGGGCACCCAAGATGCTCCAAGAGGCCTCGGCGAGAATGCAAATCATTGATGTTAAAACGATGTTAGCCACATGTTGGCCTCTTGGGGGTGGCGCTGATTAAGAGCAAGAGTGCCTGGGAGAGCCCAAAATGACCTCCAAGATGGCTCAAGATATCCCAGGATGTCTCATAATGGCTCCCTCTGCGTGCTGCCCACTTCCCTGATCGAGGCAATTCCTCCGGGCGTCGTTTCTGGATGGGCTGATGGAGATTCGCGAAGCGTCAACAATTTATCGATGCCCCTTACAACAACGGCGGATCTTGGCGACAGCCAACGCATCCAAGTGTCTTTCTTCGTGGGCGCACCGTGCGAGCCCATGCAGAGATAATGTTTCCAAATGCGCATGCTGATAATGAACTCTCGAAGCCGGGGATGGTTCTCCATGAGCGACCCCTTTGGCTGCTCCAGAAACCACGGGCAGCCGAGCGCGGTGAAAAGATAAAGCAGAAGCACTACCCGCCCAACCATAATGTTGGATTCCTTGACGTATTGATGAGTTTCATCGCCGATAGGGTTAGACCGAGTGCGTCTGCTTGTCGCCAGGTTCACGGGCACCCAACTTCTACACACTGGCGCGAACGGCGAGATTCCACTGGCTGGTTTGCATCGTAAGGCAACCAGGATCGCAGTAGCGAGCCCTTGAGGGCTCAAAATATTGAAATATTCACTATTGTGCAAGATCCGCCAGCGACGGGATCCCCGTCGCACCGGGCGAGCCAGTGCAGGGCGTTAAAGACTTTCTCTAGGGGGAATGGAGATAGGCATGGTCAAAGCAAACGATTTTCGAGCACCCCTCCTCCCTCGCCCTCAGCCCCCCACCGGCCGTGCAGCGGCGCAGCCCGCTTAATTTCGTAAGGGAACGCGTGCTTGCCCCTGTCCCAAGCTGCTCGTGTACATGCGTGTTTCCCTGCCATATATTCAATTTGATCAAAATGCGGCTCGCCGATGGCAACCTTTGTGATGAACAATAGACAGAGTCGAATAAGTACCCGGGGTGCGCCTATGGACTTGGGAGCTTTGGCAGTACTCCATTTGCGACACTCTTGATCATGAAGAGAAGGTCTCACAATGGGGTGCAACACCTTCTTCTGATTCCGCTCGAACGCTCGTCGGCGAGTTTTCCGTTTCAGCGTGTGACGACGGACCATTGCGAGCACGTGGAATGTGAGCGCGGGGCTCTTCGAAACGTTTGAACCCAAAAGGCATGTTACGACCAGATCCTCATAAACCCAACATCGCTCTCTGTGTGCGACGGCTCAAGTGCGTGGGTCACCCCCCCCCCATTCCTCGCGGTTCGTTTGAAACATTCCCCCCTCTTTTGTGATATCCTCCCTGTATCATCCTCCCATCTCCTGTGGTGCCCTCTCCTGTGATATCCTCCTGTGACCTCTTTGCGCAGCCTCTGATGTCTGCGCAGAGATCTAGAGAGGGGGCGGCGCGGGATGCGCGGGAAGGGGGGGGGGGGGGCGCGGGCAGGGAAGGGGGGGCGAGACATTGAGGAGGACATGAGAACGCAGGAAGCGCAGGGAGGAGGCGAGGAGAAGAAAGACCAGGCTGAGCAAGGGGAGGGGCTGCACGAGCACGCGCGCGAAGAAAAGATAAACAAAAAACAGGCGCCCGCGTTCAGGGATCCTTCTCAGGGATCAGGTCGCCGCCGCGGTCCGGGACGGGGCAAGCCTCAGGCTCGTGGCGGGCGTCTGGGGCAGCAGGGTCATCGCCGACTTCCATCGAGATATCCGTCAGGAGGCTGTCGAAGTCGGAACTGGCCCCGCGGCCCTCAGAAATCTCCATGCACGATGGGCTGCTTTCTACATCTTGGGCTCGCTCGCTGACGGGCGGATCGCTCTCGGAGGCCTCCAGGAAGTGCTCGGTGTCTGCGTTCTCCGCGGGGTCGGGCCCGTGGGCGGCATCTGCGGGCTCGGCCTCACCATCGACATCCTCGGACTCGGCCTCGCTCGAAACCACCGCGGGCTCAGCCTCGGGCCCAGTCTCGCTCGCACTGGCGCGGTCCGATTCCTCGTCGTCGCTAGGCGATGGCGGCAAGCCCCAGTACTCCTCGCGATGCCTATCGCGATGCTTCCAGTCTGAAGCGCTCACCCATTCGACTTGGATCCGCCACCGCGCGTTCGCGCAGTTCGGAAATCGCGTTTTCTAGAGCCGACCCCCTCCCACCCCAGGGGACATCGTGGACATCGTTCCCATGGGGCACTCACAACTATATAGCGAAGGACCCGATCATGTGCATGTGAGGGTACACCGCGAAGCAGGTTTGACGAATCCGGACGAACTCCCGAGGAGGCCGCAGCATGCGTGAAGGGCGTGCCGACATGGGCGTCGATGAGTCGATGCGGAGTCGACGATGGCCCCTAGAATGGCACGAGAGGGGGGCCACGAAAAGCCACCTCGAGCTTCCGCCCCGACAGGGCCGCTGGAGGCCCCAATTGAGGGGGCCCTCAAAATGCCCCCGAGAGGCGCTGAGAGATCACTGGGGGCCCGACATCCCCAAGTGGCCCCCAACCGCAATATCCCATCTAACAGACATGTTGCCACAACTCAGGCACAATGGCGGAGCTTGCCGCAGGCAGCTGGTTGCGCCCCCCACGATCGCGGATTACCCACGGGTACACGTAGTCTTGCAGCGCGGGAATCCACATCGGCGAGTATTGTTCTTCCTCGTCAGAATATGTACCGCGTGGCATCGCGGGCGAGAATCTAGGGGGCCAAAATTCATGGCCCGCGCTGTTCGAGCCTAGAAGGCAGTTGGGACAGGATTCCGCTAGGGAAAAGGGGAGGAAGGCCGAGGGGGAAACAGGTGCAACGGTGGCCCTCTTCTGTCAAGCCCGTCTCACGAAGTCCAGCACCGCTCGCATTTTCCACGAGGAGTCTCAGAGACCAGTCAGGCATTCACACCGGCAGTCCAGCCATGGCGACATGCAAACAGAACCCTCTGATGCGGCACATTCCCCGTTGCACCGTAGATTGCGCCACGCCGAAAGAGTGCACAGCATAGATTGCCCCACGTAGCTTGCACCGCATATAGGTTGCATTAGCCGCGCACGCAATGCACCACGTCGATTGCACCGCATACATTGCGCTGCCGATAAGGTGCGCCGAGTGAATTGGTCAAAACAAACTGCATTACATAAGCCGCACCGCATAGCGCACCGCAAATATTGCATTATAAAGTAACAGCACGTGCATTGGCCCACGTAGGTTGCACCACAAATACTGAAAATAGATTGCACCGCCTGGACTGCACCTCACCATAAGTCGCATCGCGTATCGGCTTCACCGAATGTAGCATCACATGTTGCCGCGCATACTATGCACCACGCAGGTTGCACCGACTGCACTGTATAGCACATGTATGGCACCATATATGTAACCACGCACGTGCAATGTATTTCATGTCATACATTGCTGCGTACATACACACATATTTATATATATATATATATATACATTTGTGTATATATATATATACATATATAAATGTATCTCGTGCGCCGCGTAGATTGCGCCGCGTAGAGCTCAGTTTGGGTTGCGCCGCCTCGGTTGCACCTCATTTAAATTGCACCAGGTACTTTGCCCCGCTTGCACTACGCGCTGCCGCGCATACATTGCACCGCGTAGATTTCACCACATAGAACGCATGGCAGATTGCACTGCCTGCAGGTTTCACCACATAGGTTGCACCGCACGTTGCATTGCAAATAGACTGGCGTGGGTCAGCACGCTGCAAAGAGCGCATTGCATTGAAGCGCCGCGTAGAGTGCACCACGGCCTTGCGTGCATTGCATCTTGCACCTCGCGCATTGCACCACATTGCTCATAATGATCTTCAAGAAGCAGCGGCTTGGGGCTTGGGGCGAACGACGGCTAACATCATGTACATCGTACGCCACTATTTTAATTATCCTCATCCTCGTCATCCACATCCACACCATCCGGTCATTGTCATAATCAAGGCCACCATCGCAATGCTCATCATCGTAGCCACCAGCGCCACGCAACACAGCGCGGCCACGACGCTTGCAACGCTTGCGAGGAGTCTCAAAGGAAGCGCCCCATCCTCTCCAGCGCCCTCCCGCGAGAAGAGAGGGGCGAGAAGGAGAGGCGAAATGCCCCCCCTCCACTTCCATCCCGTTCCCTCTCTCCGAATTCCTCCTCTCCTCATTCGTTTCGCCCGTCTCCTCGCCAGCGTCTCCCTTCCAATGGCAGCAGGGCTCGCTGGGGTGGCCCCCTGGTCGATCTCTAGAGCGGCCATGGTTTCTTGGGTGGTTTGGGCCGCGCTGGCACCCAGCGCCATTCCTGGAGTCGATC